TATATATATATATATATATATCTCACATTTTCTTAATCCATTGATCTGTTGAAGATATGTCTGGGCTAGTTCTACTACTTAGCTGTTGTAAATTCTACTATTATAAATATAGATATGCATATCCATACTCCATATCATATGTCCTCTTTAATTCTTTTAGGAATATTCCCAGGAGTGGTATAGCTAGACCAAATGTTAATTTTATGTTTAGTTTTTAGAGAAATTTTTAAATTTATTTCCATATTGGTTGTACTAGATTATATTCCCACCAAAAATGTAGAAGGGTTCCTTTCTCCCTAAATCCTCACCAACATTTTTGATTTTTAGATTTTTGATAGCAACCATTCAGACTGAGATGGAATTTCACAGTTTTGATTTGCATGTCTCCAGTGACTAAATATACTTATTGAACATTTGTTTCTACCTCTGAGAAGTATCTATACATATCATCTGCCCACTTTTTTACTGTCTCAGTTTTTTCTAAGGGTTACTTTTGTTGAGTTCATAATATATTCTATATATGAACTCTCTATCAGAAGAGTCCAAAGCAAATATTTTCTCCCACTGGATGGGTTGTTTCTTCACTCTGTTAGTTTTTTCTTTTGCTGCCCAGATTATAATTTGATGTAATCCCATTGGTTGATTCTTAATATTGTTTCTTGTGCACTAGAGTCCTATTTATAAAGTCTTTGCTTTAGGCTTCGATTGTTTGCCCTGTGTTATCTTCCAGAAATTTCAAAGTTTCTAATTTAATATATAAAACATTTTTGTTGTTGCTGTTTTGGCTTTTTCTTAGGGCAGGGTCTACAGGGTGTTCAGGGTCTCACTACTAAATTGGACTCATAGTGATTCACCTGTTTACAGCCTCCCAAGAGCTGAGATTACAAGTGCGTGCCACCACACCCCGTCTCAATTACCATCTCAGCATGCTCCAGGGGCAGGGGCAGCACAGCAGGCATGGGGATCGAACCTCCAGCCCCTGCACCTGCTTGCAGACACTTTAATCCACTGAGCTATTTGGCAGGCCCTATATATAGATCTTTTATTCGATTTTTATTTTATGTTAGTTGAAGATAAGAGACAGGATTCTAGTTTTAATCTTTTGCATGTAGAATCCAGTTTTTCCAGAACCATTTGTTAGAGACCGTCTTTTCTCCATTGCAAGTTTTTGGCTCCTCTTTCAAAATTCAGATAGCTATAGGAGAATGGGTTTGTTTCTGTGTTTTCTGTTACAGTCCACTGGCCTACATGTCTGTTTTTGTGCCAGTATTATGTTGTTTTTATTACTATGTCTAGCCTACTTTTTAGTAAGGTTTTAGAACCTTGAAGTCTTTTAGCTCGATGACAAATTTTCAGCTTTGCATAAGTATAAGTGAGATATTCACAAGCGTCTATGTTGCTGAAACTATACTATTTGGGTTAAAATTCAGGCCCTATCACATACTATCAAATGACTGCAGGCAGACAAGTTATATAACTTCTTTGCATTTCACCTTTTTCTTCTGTAAAATGGATACTGGTAATAATTCCTTCCTAATAGCAATGATATGGGCAATAAATGAATTCATGTGACTGAAATGGATAGAACAGTGCCTGCCAAAGGAAGTGCTCTGAAAGTCCTGGCACGTGCCTGTGTGTTAAAGTCTCACTCATTGCATTTTAGCTTACTGATCTTTTTTAAACAAGAATTTTGAAAGTAACCCTTATTTTCTTTTAAGTTGACTATCATTTACAAGTATGTCTGTTACAATTTATCCATAATCCAGTCAAGCCATAGTAGAAAGGCTTTTAAGTACATAGTCCCTGCACTGTTGTCACTGAGAGACTGCCTAGAAAGGATCACGTGAAAACAGATTCAAGGCTTTACTAAACACTTTGGGGTTCCTTGAATATGCTAAGCCGTTCAGGAAGAGGGGAGTGTGAAAATAAGAGCAGTAAAAGACTGTTTTGTTCCAGGTTCCCTTTAAATGTGTGGCTATGAGCTCTACATTATGTTTCAATAGGAGCCCTCTTTAACCATGCATATAACTCTCAAAAAAACAAAAAAACAACAACAACAAAAACTCCTGTCTTCTTTCCTCTATACTTAACCCGTGTACAATTACCTATTGTAGAATATATATCATTTTATTTCTCATTCACTCTTATACCTAGTACTGTAGTTCCTAATAAATGTCTATTAAATGAATATATGATCAAATAAACAAATGAATGAATAAAGGATAAAGTCAATAGAGGTAAATTCATCAAAGAAAGGGGATTTTTTTATAATTTAAAAGTAATTTAAAATGAAATTTATCCCACACCTTTTTTAATGTGCTGCATTTTCATGATGAATCCACTGTTAAATATTATTGAAAGACATGGAAATAATTAAACAAAAATCCAAAAGCGAAAAAAAAAAAAAAAAGCCAAAAGCATTTGGCTGTTTCTGGGAAGTAAAACTCAGTATAAGAAGAGGTGAGTCAAGGATATGTCATTTTTCCTTAAAAGTTCTCTGCATTATTTAATTTTTAAACATGTACTACTTGGTTTTAAATTACACATATAATTGAAATATTGAAATGCAAAATTAGTCATTTTTTAATCTGTTAGTAACTCAAAATAGTTCATTGTACTTTTGACCTCAGAGGTTGAGTACATTTTTTTTTTAATTTTTGTGCTGAGTGCTGGTTACTAAGAATGTTGACCCAAGGCTAGGTTAATAAACAGTATTTTGAACTTTAATAGGGCAGTTCCAATTGACCAAGACAAGCCTCTTGACTGGAACTTGCAAATAGTTATAAAGGGGCTGAGTGAATCAATTAACTCCATGGTTTTCATGGATACCTCTTCATAAGTTTCTTTCTTTTAAACACGTGTCTCCTCTGATTCTGTGGAGATGAAAATCGACATCCATACCCATATTCTACCAAAAGAATGGCCAGATCTAGAAAAGGTAATTTGCTGAATTATTTCTGGAAATTCTCCAGGATTTCTCAATGTCTCTATTTATAGCCCTTTCTCTTCTTTGGAGAGTTTGTTTCTTCACTCTGGGGTGATTTTAAATTATTTTTGGTAGTCCTAATTTCCTTGTTTTTAAAATAACTTTAATATTTATTTTGCAAGAAAAAATGTCTTCCTAAAATGTTTTTTTACTTTCAAAAAAAAAGCATTTTATAAGGTTCTGGACAATTTAAGTCAAATAGATTTGCTTCCTTTTAAATCACACATTCAATCTGTTGTAAAGATACACATCAACTACAGAATTGAAAGTTATAATTTCAACTTAAAGGCTATTAAAAAATTGAATGTGATAGTTTTCAAGGACTTGTAAAGTATATGCTTTCCAAAACGTTAAAAAGTAAGTTTTAGAAGCACAAAGAGATAGTTTTGTGAAAAAAAATATTCCATTTTAGGACATCTGTCTGAAGCCTTTCCTTTTTGATATTTAAGCTGTAAATCCTTGTTATGAGGAAATAGGAAGTAGATAGTAAAAAAATAGAAGAAAATGACATGAAGTCTTGCACAATGAATATCTGTAAAGTGCATTTTCTGTATTTCTCTAAATATGGAAATTCTTTTTGTTATTAAGACCTTTTGAATGAATACTAAATGAGGAAAGCAGGGAACATGAAGGAAATTTTAGTTGGCTGAAGTTTGTTTAGGCTGTCAGGTTACACCCAATTTTTAGCATTCTTTCAGTTCTTTTACATCCCTGATAAAGTTTCATCTTTTATCTCATGCAAGGGAAAATGAATTAACCCAAACTACTAATTAAATTATGATTCATCGTACTAGTAAATGAAATATTTTCTTCTATAACTGTCTTCTACTGGAATGTTAATCTTGAGTGTTTTCTCTTAGATAAAATGGATGGTAAAAAATATTTATTCAAGCATGCAAAAGAGGTTGAGTATTCTTGGAAAGTCTATTCTATTAAAGCTAACAGTAAAAGGAACTCAATTGACCTAGGTCTGTATACACACACAAACACACACACACACACACACACACACACACACACACACAGAGTCTGTTTACATGGGAATATATTCATCTATCCTTGGCTAAACCTGTTAACACCAGCATTACAGCTTTTTTCTTTTTCTGAATATCAAAAACACTTACACTAAATGCTTTAGAAGGTCCTATGACAGTCTCTAGAGCACTTGTGCATCTGTGACCTCTTCCACAAGACAGATAGCCTGACCCACCTATGTAGAGCATGGTGTAGAATCAAAGGCTCCAAGATTCTGGCACTGACATCCTTGTCCAAACAAGGATTTTGAGGCATAAATAGTGCTATAGTCATGTAAACCCAAACTTCACATGTTGAAGTTCACCGCTCAAGGCAACAGCAATAGGACATGGGATCCTTGGAAAACAATTAGGGTATGAAAAGAGAGCTCTTGGGCACGGGATAGTGACCGTATAAAATGGGCCCAAGGGTGCTGCTTTGCTCTTTCTATTATGAGGACTCAGCAAGAAATCTCTATCAATGAATCAGGAACCAGACACCAAAACTACCACCTCCTTGTTCTTAGACTTCCAGCACCCAGTGCTATAAGAAAGAAATGTTTTCTGTTTATAAGCTACCAGTTGATAGTATTTTTATTAAAACCACCCAAGTGGACAGACATAGACAGTAAACCAGGAGTTGACATGTTTTTGTCATGAGAGCAAGGAATTTTCAGTTCCTCTCATAGTCAGCTTTAAGGCACATTGTACAGAAAACCTGATTGCTTTATCTATTTTCATTGCATTCTTAGTTTGGAAAACGGACTTAATGTCAAACTTCAGGAATTCCCAAACTGATTTAAACCAATTCTATTGTTTCTGAGGAACTCTTCAGCATTCTGGGGAGAAATGCCTGCCTTCCTATTAAAGCTAGACCCAGTAGCACACTCCCTCTAACATTGAAGGCTGTTAATAAGTAAGTCTCATGCACAAAACCCCTCAACCTTTCCCAATTGGAAAACCCACAGGAGAATAAAATAAGACCCACTTTTTACAGGGAAAGGAAAGCTTTCCATCAGTAGTGACCCAAGCCACAACATTACCTCCCACTACCTTCTGCCCACACCAAAAAACTGCTTCTACTTCAACAGAGAACTGGCCACCTACAGCTGACAATTTCTAGGTGCTCTATTTCACACAAAGGCAATGTTTAAACTACTTGGAAAACTAACAGATAAAAACATTGGGATTCATAGTTGCGTGCCATGGAAAATCCCAAAGCACTTGCCCTGCTGCCTCTTCATACTGCCTCCCCCTCCTATCCAGAAAGGCTTACTGCCTTGAAAAATGGAGCAGTATTTTATTCCAGTGATCAAGCAGTCTCATATGCTGCACGTAGATAGAGAATACATTTTATCGTCATACAATAACAATGATAATTGTCAGAATATTTTGTGCTTCTAGGAATGTACAGTCCATCAAAAAATGGATACATCAGGAAAAGGAAAACTTGCATAAATATTCTAATCCTAAATTTATTGATATATCATGAGATTAACACATTTCCTTTGACCCCTACAATTACAAGAGGCACTCAGAGTGGTGACCATTAGCTTCCAGACATTTACTAGTATAGTGAGCTGCTGAAGTGTGTATATAGTTTTTGGTGGTTTTTCTCTCTTAATAATTATATATAAATATTAATATATGTATATTAATTTGCTTGACAGGTGAAGGGCTCAATATTGAGAAACATATCTGGAGCTACACTGGAGTACAGTGGTCCCTCCAGAGTACCACCTCCACCCCCATTCATTTTCATAAAAGTAGCCAGAGAATATTGCTGCTGTAAGGGAAATATACACACACTTCTCCCTGCTTTCTTTTTTATAATTTTTATTTTTTTTAATTTTGTTGAGAAACAAATAGCAATGAGACTATATTGCATTATTTTGCTGAGTTCATGCACCTACAATATTTAAATGACAATGGAATACTCATCTCTGACAAAACTAAATCAAAAGGGACATGTAAATGAAGAACCATTTTGTATCTGTATACACAAAATAGTTAAGATAGATATACAGCTACTTTCTCTTAAAGTACTACTTAAAGCTACTTTGTACTAATAGTGTTTGGACAGGATCTCATGTCTGTATCTTATACTATGAATAACCACTACAAAGACAACAATATGCAATGTATTATTGAAACTGTCCTACTAATTGGTTTTGAAACTGTCTCATTGCTCAGAAAATCTCCCTGCTTTCTAATGCCCTTCTGAATACCAGCCTCCCCCACCCCAACTCTTCCCATTCATATAAGCCTGCCAAGGCTTACATTAGTAGCTGGTTTCCAATCTACAACTTAAACAACTGGATCAGTTACATGACAGAGATTCCCTTTTGAGTGCTAGAAAGCCAGTGATGAATGAACTAGCCAAAATCAGCCACACTTTCCAACTTGGATGAATGAGATCTATCTAATGAGGCTGAGATCCTTCTGTTAGCCCCTTCATTTCCAATCTATATGATCAGTAGAGTGAATAGTAATGTGACATTAACTACAGCAAATTTCTTTTGTCTGAAAGTTATTTCTTAGTGTGGAAAAATATTTAGAAGATCAGTTTCTTTTAAATAGCTTAAAGAACTTTTTCTCACTATTTGTTTTCAAACTTTCCAATAAGAGAAAGAAAAGAATAATCCAATACTATTTTTGTCTGACAAGATGAAGTTTATTTGGAAGAAGTAATGTCGACTTTCAAATCTGTCTTTCTTTCTTAAATATTGAGACATATACACAACATTGACTTTCTTGTGAAAAAGCAGAATCAACACACCTGAGCTGATGATTAACTAAAAGTTACAAAAGGCTGAAATTTGAGAGATCTTTCATTTTCACTTACTAACGATAATTTAGTCAAAGTTATAGTCAGGGTCCTTTTTTGAAAGCTTTAGGGCTAGGTATATAGCTTAACTACACAAGTGCCTTCCTGGAAAGCATAAGGTCCTGAGCTTGATTCTTGGTACCAATAAATTAAAAATAAATAAAAACAAAAGTCTATCTGAGATGGAGAATAGATTCATGTCAACTTAATTAAATGGCTTCTAATGAATGAGGACTTATACTCTATGCTGTCACAAATAGGCGCCGAAGGAGCCATAGTGAAAGCTGTCTCAGCTTGATCTACAATGGTAAGGTTTTGCCTTTTTTCTTCAGTAAGTCTTTACTGGCCACCCACTATAAGACCAATAGTAGGGTATGCAAGTTTTCAATTTAAAACGGGGTAAAACAAATTCTGGCCTTTAATTTAAAAGTATATATATATATATTTAAATCTCCTTTCATTAGCAATGGTTTAACTGTATTGTTCAAGGTAATATTTTCAGAAACATAATTTGACTTTTCAGCAATTGTTGTGAAGAACTAGATACCTATTTTCATCACCCAGGACATTTATGAGTCACCTTGTGTGAGGTCCCAGTATACCAAAAACGTCATTTGGGAACTAGACAATAGTGGCAGGAATCTCTAACACCAACTACTCAGCAGGCTAAGGCAGGAGGAGCAGCAAGAAAGTGAGGAAGACATGAACAGGAAAATGCATATAAGAAAATAGAAGAGGAAAAATAAAATAAAATCTTTTCTTCTATACTATGACATTTTAGTAGCAAATTTTCAACTTGACAGCATACTATTAGTCTCAAATTTACTCTAAATTTTAACTGATTAATGTCATTTTTCCACCTCTTCCTTCCACAAAATATCTTTTGGTAGCTTTTTGCAGGGGAAGAAAAAAGTAAAGTACAAGGGTTTTGAATTCATGAAGGGAAAATACTGAAAGATCAGTCATTGGTTGAGGAGAAGTTTCATGCAGGGAGAAGAAAGTGGGCCCCTGATGACAGTTTTCCTTGCATGCCCAGTCACTAAACAGAGTGTAAAGATGTCACTAGGCGGAAAGCACTAAGGTTTCTATGGCTAATAGTATTTGAAGATAGAACTCAAAAATAGACCTCAGATCTAAGTAAAATAAGATTGAAATAGAACTGATCTGAATTTTAAAAGCCTGTTGAGCTAGATTCTAGTCACAAACACAAACACACCTATAATGCACTATGGTCCAGGCCCAGACTTTCCCATTTAGCCTGGAGGTGAGAAGGAAGCTAGGAAGAACAAGTTACTAAGCACTGTCTCACTCTAGACAACATCCCAGGACCATAACATCAAAACCAATCACTGTTACCTGGCCTCATCCAACTGTAAGTGGGAAATGATGCTGAAATTCACCTTGCTTAATTCATCAACTTTCATTGCTGATAGTTCAGGAGCTGGTGATGAACTCCTTCATCTAAATGTTTCTGGTTTTCACACCTTCCCCCCTTACATCATGCTCTAAGAGCCATGATTTGGAGCCCAGAAATCCTGAACATGAGAAGATCCTCCCCAATATGATCCCAGACTACCTTTTCAACCTCCCTCCTGTGAAACAAGCTGACCCAGAGTCACACTCATGGGCAAGATCCCAAAGTGTGGATGTTCTCCCTCCATCAGGCTCCCACAGATCTTATGTAGGACTATAACAGCAAGTTTCATGTACAAGACAGCTTTTGCCTTGTTCCTCCACACCAACCCCAGGCTCAGAAGACTCTGCACCACATAGCCTAGAACTGTCCATCACTTTTATTTTCCTTGCCCTTGTAAGGCTGGTCACAGTTGAGACTCCATGAGGGCTTGGGGAATAAATGAATGACTGAAGGGATGAATGAAATGATAATTTAAAACCTGCAGTTATATGAGTAATAGATAATATGTTCTTAGGCAATGGCTTTCAAATATTTTATCCATGACTCCCAGAAAGAAATATATTTATACTATGGCTCAGTAGAAACAGTTGTCTATATATAAGATGGGCAAAATTTTTTTGAAACTAATATTACATGGGAGATTTTCCATTCTATTCCATTTTATTTTATCCTATTCTATCCTAATATTACCTTATCCTTTCCATTTCTTCTTAGCTTATATTTTCTAAGAAGTAGACTGAGACAAGGATTCAAGTATAATTTGAATCCTCTGTTGGAGGTGATCCAAGGAAATCCCAGTGAGTGAAGTGAGACAGGAAAGCAAGATGATCAGTGAAAGGTTTGTTATCTAGTGGACAATGTGCTCCTTGCCTGAGTTATCTTGCCCAAGAGTGTGATACCAGTGTATCCAGTGTATTTGTTACCTCAGTCACTCATCAAGAGCTGCTGAGCAGGTGGAGAGAGAAGACTAATTTCCTGGGACTTCTCATCTAGAAGGGTTTGCTCAAAGAAGGTTCCAGGGACATAAAGGAAGCCCTCAAAAGCCAATGCTCACAGTTGCAGGTGGGCTGTTGTCCCTGAAGCTTTAAGGGGAAGAAATATGAATAGGACCCTGGCAGGATCTGCTACTTACACTATTTCATGTTTCTAAAATGTCTAAGTGTGGGCTGGCCAAATAGCTCAGCAGATTAAAGTTCCATGCAAGCAGGCGCAGGGACTGGGGGCTCAATGCCTCCAGCCTCTGTGCTGGCCCGCCCCCAGAGGCACGCTGAGATGGCAATTGAGACTGGGCATGGTGGTGCATGCCTGTAATCCCAGCTCTGGGGAGGTTGTAAATAGGTGGATCACTATGAGTCTGATCTAGTAGTGAGATCCTGAATACCCTGTAGACCCTTCCCTAAAATACAAAAAATAAAATAAAATAATAAAATGCCTAAGTCCCTATCCACTCAGTTGATTTCATGATGTATTCATGGATTGCAACCCACAGTTTGAAGAGCAGTATGCATTCCTAGAGAGTGGTTCTTAAATTCCATATATTTATGGTGGCCTGTGAAATGATTATAGGTATTACATAAACAACTATATTTTAATGCTGATCTTTATCTTAAAATTTCAAACTGTATGAGGAGGAAAGAAAAAATTGGTACTTCTGATATATAGAATGTCCTTTATATACATATACAAGATATATATATATATATATATATATATATATATATATATTGAATAAGCAATATGTGGCTACAAGGGACAAACAGGAGGATGATGCCCAAAAAGATGGAGTGGATGCCTAAAAATACCTTTCTGCCTAAAAAGGCCCTTTATTGCAGTCCTTTCTTCTTTGCTCCATAAGTCTAACTGTACATGTCTCCACTGCAGAGATTTGGCTATGGAGGCTGGGTGAAACTTCAGCACCACAACAAGGTAAGTTTCCACCAAAGTGTGATCATGAGGAGGACCCAGGGATACCCCAAGCTTTGAGATATCTTACTGTAGGCTAGACCTCAAGGGAACTCAACTCTTCTGTCCTGCATTGATGGTATAGCCAGCAAGGGAGCAGCACTGCTTAGAATTATTATATAAAAAGTTGGGGGTGACTTCAAAGAGCAGAATTTAGGAAGATAAAATTGGTATTTGAGAATCCATTAAGAAATCTGTTTTTTTTTTCTGACCTGGAACCAATTTTAGCATTTATTGCTCTGCCATGAGAAACTGACCTTACCCTCTGCATAGGTTTTTACAGTGTATGAAGGCTGGTAAAATAAATGGAACAGTTAGGTTTCAGCACAAACTGGAGAAATCAAATGCTAAAGACAAAAGAGAAAAAGCCACTGTTATTGAAGGCTGATTTTGACACGAGAAAAGGAAGGCACTGGGGCAAAGCATCCTGCAAATAATGAACTCCAATAAGTGAGCTGGGAGTCTAGACATGTACAGAGTTCAAATTTGGCTTCATTTTCAGAGTACCCTTTCAAGTTCAAAAGAAACATTCTTGAGCTTCTAGCTAGAATATAAACATGACTAACATAGGCCCTGGAGGATTTGTGGTCTAGGAAAACAGGTATGTGTCAGTTTAACCCAATGCAGTTGTAAGGTTAGAATAAGGTGAAGACTGTTTGTGTTATGTGGTAAGGAGCAAATATTTGAGCATCAAGAATTAGAAAAGGTCTCTTGGAAGAAGTGATGCCTGTCCTGGGTGTTGAAGCAGGGCAAGAGGTTTTCCTGAGAAGTAGAGAAAATACTAACTATATGTGAGCCCAGAACTTGGGTACTGAGATATAGTTGGCACCATCTTTTCTCAAACTGCGGTCCTAGTACTAGTAGGCCCATAATGACCTGGAAACTTGAGATGCAAATATGGGGGCCACACCCCAGGAGCTCTGCAGGTGGGGCCAGCTATCTACTTTAGCAAGTCTAAATATGAGAATCCATGGCACATTCATTCATTAGGGGCTTTTTGGGTTTTGTTTTGTTTTGTTTTGTTTTTTGTAGTACTGGGGATTGAACTGAGGACCTCGCACTTGTCAGGCAGGTGCTTATTCTACTGAGATAACTCTCTGGCTCTGCATTCATTAATTTTTAATGAAGTTTGTTTTGTACCAGGCCAACCAATGTAGACACTAGCAATATGCTGGTGAGCAACTCAGAGATAGTTTCTGCTTTCATGGTGCCTAATTGCTATGGGAAACACATGTGAATGATTAATTCAACCAGTGGAATAAAAAACATTGCTGCTACAGAGGGTAACAGGCCATTCAGTCACTGATGTGGCAAAAGGCCAACAAGAAGGAAAGAGTCAATGTGTTCAAGGACCTAGACAGGAGAGCAAAGTGGATGAAAGTTAGAGAAAGGGGAGAGGACAGGAAGCAGGTCCAAGTACATAAAGACTGGAAGGACATGCTGGGAGTGTAATCACTAAGCAATGCGAATTCTTCGGAAGATCTTCATGGCTCTAAATGACTAGTTTCCTCTGGGATGAATGGACACAGAGGCATGCAAGAGTTTGGGAGACAAACTGTGGAAAGGCGCTAAAGAGGTGAGCATAAGCCTCATGAGCCAGAGGCTTGAAGGGTTTAAAGTTTAGGCCCAAAATGGAATTTGGCTTTTATACTTGATCCTGAAGGCAACATCAGAATCTTTGGGAAAACTTATCTTTATTTTCTCCAAAGAGTATACTATAAATGCCAGCTTAAGTATAGCTACATTCCTGCACTCCCAGTATTAGTTTCTTGCTGAAGAGCTCACGTCTCTGCAAGGAAAAGTACATAAGGAGTGGCACTGACTACAAGTCTATCAGGAAACTCCAACTGCAGAAACAGGCAGCCTCTCATTTTTTTTTTTTGTACTCTGTATCTTCAGCCAAAGTTTGCCCTTCAATAGTGGATATAAATGGCTTTCATTTCATTTTAAGGTAAAAAGATTTCATAAACTTAGCAGAAAATTTCCAAAAGCAAACAAGAAGAAAAATAATTTTCAGGCATATTTACTGACCTATTTATCTTCAGAAAAATTGATTATGATAATGGTCTAATAGTGTAAAACAAGGATGCTTTCTTTCCTACTCTCTCATAAAGTTAAGCAAAGCATAGCCAAATTTGTACTTTTCATAATTATAGTGATCAAGAGTAATAGTCACTAAAAAACAACATGTAAGTGTGTATCATTCCACAAATTAACCAGGAGCATTGAGGCAATCCGGAATTCAGGATTTTAAAATCCTTTTTATTCTCCTACATTCCTTTAGTGACCAAATATCTTCTTCCCCTAGGATTAATTTACTTTAGAGATTCTTATTCTCAAAAAGTATTTTCCAAAACAATTTACTGATTTGATCTATTTGTTTCTTTTAGACTTTGGTTTTTCGGTGTTTTGGGGATGAATTTGGAGATAGTTGTTTGCATGTTAGAGCCTTGATCAGAACTGTAAAATATCACTTAGCTGTTGATTAAACATTTACAAAAATATGTGCCTCAAGCCAGTACTTGGTTAATATAACAACCTACCAGGAGCTGCTTGGCAGTTAGGGTATGTGTTGAACTGTTCCTCAACAGCAAAAATACCTGGAAGCATTTTAACAGCTACAACTTAAGAATGTAGACACACAGCCCATTTCAAATCTATAGGTCAACAGCAACAAAAATAACCTGAGTGTCCCCTATGACACTGAGAATACAAACACACATGTACACATACCTCCTACACATATTTGCATGATATTAAGCATTTTTTACACATAATTGTTTGATTCTCCATTGTAATGAGCTAAGTGTGTCCCCACCATGGTTTACATATTTGAAGTCTAAATCTCTACTATGATGGTATTTGGAGGTGCTATCTTTAAAAGATGATTAATATAAATGAGGTCATAAGGGAGGCCCTCACTTCATTTCCCCCTCCCTTCTACATATGTTGACATCAGTGGGCTTTGCTCTTCTGAACAAACCATTTTCATTATCCATACACTGCTTCTGAAGAAAAGAAGAGGGCAAGAGTATGGTCTATCATCACTGCTTCTGAAGAAAAGAAGAGGGCAAGAGTATGGTCTATCATCAAGGTTATTTCTAATTCTAAAATTATAGAGCTAAAATGTTCTAGATAGGGAGCCATCCTCATGGATCTTATAGCCAGTACTTCAGATCATCAACATAATCATCCCTCCTTGGTCATGCAGGCCTAGAGGCCATGACCACGACATTACTACCTTTCTGTCCAATGACTGACAACCACAGGGCACACTCCTTCAATTCCAGGACAAAAAAAGACATGAGGGGAAAAAAGTTGAATTCTATTAAATGAGTAGATTTTGATGTATATGTTGAAAATTTCTAAAAATGTTAGAGAAGAAACATGTTCCAAAGCATATAAAGATTTAGGTAGATTTAGGTGATCTTTCACTGATGTAAGTTTTCTCCCTAGGGAGAAGCAAGGATGGTACAAGATGGCAAAGTCTTCAGAGTGGTCCAAGAGAACTGCTGGGATCCAGAAATCCGTATTAGAGAAATGGATCAGAAAGGTATCTGCAATGAGAGATGCTACCAGGCTTATGTCTGATGTAAAAGCAGTATCTGCCTTTAAGCTTACTGCCCACCTGGCATGACTTACTTGACAACAACTTGGGATCGCCCCTTCTCTGTCAGGCCCAGCCATTCCCACTTTACTGAGGAATGAGGGGTCTTCAATTTCAATGCTTTTAGATTGTGGATTTTAAATGTTTTAAGATTCCTTATACCCTGTATCTTAGTCGCTTTCTTATTACCGAGACAATACCTGACACCCACAACTTAAAAGAAAATTTTGTTTTGGATTACATTGACAGTCCATCTTCAGGTGGCTCCAAGGGCAGTACAGCATGCAGATGGCCATACTGGAGAAAAGCTCCTCGCATTGCAGCAGCAGGGAAGCAGAGAGAGCAAAAGGTGAACTAGGGAAGGGAGCTGTCCCCTTCCAGGTCACACCCTCAGTAATTCACCTCTTTTGACCAGGCTCCACTTTCTAATAACACATTTAACTATAAATTCATCAGTGAATTAATTCACCAATGAGTATAGTACACCATGACCCAATTACCTTATAAAAGCTGTGCCTCTGATTACATGAGGCTTTAGAGTAACATTTATAAACCATATTTTTCCACCCCTGATCCTCCAAAGACTCATACACATCTCTTTATGTAAAATGCATTTAGTCTATCTCTGACAATTGCCAAAATGCTAACAGTTTTAGTATTGCTGACACAAGTGCAAGTCCAGAGAAAGTGTCCTCTAAGATTCAAGGCAAACTCTTAGCCATAATCACGTATAAAAATCAAAAAGAATGTTAACACTGCCAATATATAAGGGAACAGGATAAACATTCTCATTCTAAAAGGAAGGAATGAGGGATAGAAACGAATGACTGAAACTCAGCAGGGCAAATATTAAATCCTGGAGCTCTGTGTCCAGCACCCAGGGTAAGCTGTAGTGAGATATGGAATACAAAGGGCTAGTGCAACCCTGCCTCTGTAGCATTGCCTGTGGTTGCAGACTTTATGGATTTTCTCACGGGCTAGCTTTGCTCCTTCCATGCTGCTTTCCTCAGATGTCCACTGCACTCTCACAGCATCATGTACTATAGTCTCAGAGGGGCACTGTGTGGCCTCCAAGGCCTTCCTCTAAAATCTGGGTGGAAGACTCTCTGATCTCACACCTGGTATCAAAATCTGTATCACAGCACAAGGTCCTGAGTTCAATCCTCAGTACTACCAAAAAAAAAAAAAGTTTGGCAAAATATTAGGGGTCAGGGAGATAGCTCAGTAGAATAAGCACTTGTCAGGCAAGTGCAAGAGCCTGAGTTCAATCCCTGGTTCCACAAAAAATAAATAAATAAATAAATCTGTGTCAGATAGAGTTTACTAGAGATACACATTTAGTATGATTGTATGAAGGATTTACTAAATAGACTTATAGTGGCCATCTGCAAAATCAGGAGTAACAGAAGAATGCCAAATACCTGTCTGCAAGCTGGACAACCAGAAAGTCCAATTGAAGTTCAAAGTCTTGGTGCTCACTACAGAATCTAGTATAAGTCCATATCAGAAAGCCAAATCATCTGCATTAGAAGGCTAAAGAATCTGCACTGAAAGCCTAAGGAACAAGAGACAGACATCGAAAGGCAAAGCAAAGATCAGCTCCTTTAAGGAAGAAAAAGAGAAGAGTTACTTCTTTGTTCCCTTTTTATTTTATCTAGGCTACAAACATATTGGTTGGTCACACAAATGAGAGATTTGAGAGAGAGAGAGAGAGAGAGAGAGAGAGAGAGAGAGAGAGAGAGAGAGAGCAAGCAAGAACACTTTACTAAGTTAGGGGGTTCTTATTCAAGTCAAGTTAACATGTCACAATTAATTATACCCTGTTTGAAAAACAGAATATATCACCAAAAATTTGCAGGGGAATTTTATTACTTAAAGCATTTTTAGTTCAAATTTATAGTTCAACTTATTATAGAACCAATTAAAACAGTAAAATTAGAGATCACAGACTAAGATGCCAGTGGTCTGTTTAGTCAGACTTGACACATCCATTGACACATAAAGGAGGTGGAATAAAATTTAAAAATTAAAGTTAACTCACTAATCTCAGAACACTTTTGTGATGAAAACTCAGGAAAAAGAAAAATAGGAAATTTTTCTTTCTTTTTATTTATTTATTTTTTATTGGCAGAACCAAAGATTAAACTCAGGCCCTTGTGCTTGCCAGGGAAGTGTTTATTCTACTGAGCCATCTCCCTGGCCCCAGGAAATTTTTCTTTCAAAGTTGAATCTCTAACAATTTCTAAGAACTGCTTGCATTCTTTATCTTTTTTTTAATTTAGTACAGGGGCTACAGGGTCTCACTACACAGATGGGACTCAAGTGATCCTTCCTGTTTTCAGCCTCCCAAGTGCTGGAAGTACAGGTGTGTGCCACCACACCCAGACTGACTGTGCCCTGGGGGCTGGCCCAGCACAGCAGGCTAAGGATCTAACCCCTGGCCTCTGTGTCTGCCTAAGCAGGCAATTTAATCCATTCACCTACCTGGCTGACCTACACTTTTTATCTTTTAACTTAAAAAAATCAAACAAGACCACACAACATAAAGGAACTTTAAACATTAAAACATGACTTTGCATCCATGTCATATATTCTTACTGCCACCCGAAGAAAGTGTATGTTAAGGCCTTCTTAACACAAGTCAACAGTGCCTACAGGCTCTGACGGAGAACTTGCTACCACTGGCATTGTCAGGCCAAAATTTTGGTATCTGTGGTTTTGACCAGAACTGATGCAACCAATTTTGATATCATGCTACAGACAAATGAGCATTGAAAAGTAAACCAAAGAAGCATAGCATAGTCTACCTTTAACTTTTTAAAACCATGTTCTATGGATAACTTCAGTGTTACTGAAAGACTGATATATTCCAATATTTTTAAAACATCAATATTAATTTTGAGGGGCAGGGGATATAGCTCAGTGGCATAAGTGCCTGCCTGGCAAGCATAAGGTCCTGAGTTCAATCCCTAGTACCACAAAAAAAAAGAGAAAAAATTAATTTTGAGTTAGCAGAGGTAATCTAATCAAAAACCATTATGTTTGGTTCTAATAGATACACCTTTCAACAAAATTATTAATATGTAAAAAGAATCATGGAAAGTTCAGATAAATGTACAGAAATGTTAGACTTTGATTTTATTTCAAGGTCTGAAGAAAAAAAAAGAATCAACTTGGCAGTCTCAAATGAGTAGATGGTCTCTGGCATGTTAGAATGGTATAGAATGTTTTTGTCCAGGAATTATTTTACATATTTTTAATAATTAAAAATACATCTAAGTGGAGATGAAATGATGAAGAAAACCTGAAGCACTTCTGTAGACTTCTCCAAAGGATGTGGTATATATGTACTCATGTTCTAAGTGTATATTAGAATGGGAGGAAAGCTGGAAAAAATATGTTTCCTAGATATACAGTAAAAAGCAAGATTTTGCTATCAATGCAAGACAAGAAGAAGGGCCACTTTTTAAAAGAGAAAACCAGTGCAAATGAAATTTTGCTCACTGGTGTCAGATATTTATGGCTACAGTATAGATGAAGTGCATGGCTCTCTTTTGGTTATTGTTCTGTGTTTAATTCCATGGCTGTCCTTGACAGAACAGTCATAACCAATTCTTACTCAGCACTAGATTTGTACTATAAGCATTCAATATGAATTAATTTAATTAATGCTTACAACAATTCCAGATTCTCCTAAAAACAAAAGATTCTTGATATCCTATATTCTGGATTTCTAGATCCAAATCCAGGACCCCACTCTGGGTATTCCAGAGCATAAGTCTTCATCCAGGCTGATTTAGGAGCTGAAAGGAAGAAGGTAGGGGATAGGGATATAACTCAGGGGTGCAGTGCCTTCCTGGAAAGTGTGAGGTCCTGAGTTTGATTCCCAGTACTCCAGGAAAGAAGGAGAGAAGGAAATTTCACAGGAGAAAACATGGAAGAAACCCTTGACACATGATCTCAATCTTGTCCAGCCTTTACCTCTTTAACAAGAACCTAAGGTTAAGGGATGAGGAAGGCCTGGAAGAGGACCTGGGACAAGGAGCACAACAAGGAACAGTGGGCAGGAGGTGTCTAGGGTGGAGACACAAGGAGTGCCTGGGTAGTCTCACCAGCTTTGCCTTTCTTTGTGTTTAGGAGTGACAGTACAAGTTCTGTCCACGGTTCCCGTCATGTTTAGCTACTGGGTAAGTATGAAACCTTAAGCCATCTCCTTGGTAGTGGAGGCTCAGATCCAGCTGCCCAACAGGTAGAACAAGCTCTCCCCTCAAAAAAATCACTCTCCCCTTTAGAGATCAGCAATATCCTCTCCAGGCCTATTATCTTATCCATGTCCTTGATCTAATAGAGTAGCCAATACGCCCCTTGCTGCTTGCACTATGGTTCCATTGGACAGTACAGACTCAGTCTAAACACCCCTAGAATTTATCTGTCTGGTATCTCATTCCTGAAATACCTTCCTGAGGAACTGAAAAGCCAAATTATGCAGAAGTAGAAATGTTTTGAATTAAGACGATCAAGGTCTAATATGTTGTCTCTTCCAAATAAATATACAATTTTAAAGAGGTGTCTGAGAATTGGATACCTTTCCAAACATGAATAAATCTCAAACACTGAAAGTTTCAGGTATGATTTTCAGCCTGTGGAGGAGAATTTTTGTACAAAGCTAACGATGCATGAAGTACATGCACCTTTACTCCTGTTGTGATTTAAGAAGCAATGAAAAACCATCTACTCACACACACTTCCCCCACCTGTACTCAGAAATACACTATTAGGGATGTAGTTCTTCTGTTCTTGTTATTAAATTCATTCCTTTTTTTTTTTTTTTTTTTTGTGGTACTGGAGATTGAACTTCAGACCCTGCACTTTCCAGGAAAGCACTTATTCTACTGAGCTATCTCCCTGGTCCCTTAGATTCATTACTTAAAACACTAAAACTTCAGTATACCTGAACTTATCAAACCACTTGAAACAAACAGAATTCCAAATTTCTAGCAGTAGGATGATGTTAAAAGAAAGAAAAGTGATAACAGAAGTTAGAATAAAAAGCAAATTTCATCTGGTTCTATGTTTTGTTAGAGCCAGCCTTCAATGCCACAGCCAACAGAAAAGATGACAGAGCTTCCTGAACAAGCTTGTATACCCTGAAGGGGAGCAACAAGAGAGTACCTTGATTGTGGCTTCACACACTGGGCCAGACCTATTCTCCTCCATGGGGAGCCATCCTCATCCCATTTCTAGCGCTGAATGGTCCAGTAATTAGGAGGCAAGGCTCAATGATAGATTTTAGCCTCAATTTTTCTAATTAACCAGTAATACATTGGTGATTTCTTTGCTTTTTTTTTTACAAATATTGGGCTTTAGTAGGCATTGTCTTTCTCAAGCTGGGCCTGAGTTTCCTGAGTGGTAAAGCCATTAAAAAAATT